GTTTTCTTCTTTCAATAAATTGTAAAAAAGGTACCATTAGCAATACAGTAGACAAACTGTGTGTTTTTCCTAAAATTGTCATGACCAAACCTGAAATAATTATTGCTATTTTAAAGTGTGCACAGTAGCAATATGGGACAACATCTTTCTTTGTACTCATAATTAATTCTATTCTAATGAATCCATAGAATGTACAGTTTTTTTCATTAACTGATGAATTTAACTATTTATTTCCAGGTTTGTGCTAGTGCAAAAAGGTCATCTGAAGTAGTTACTTCACATGAGCAATTTTTTTTCCAAATTTTTACTGTTTTGCAAAGATGTGAAGCAAAGTGCCCAGGGAAAGCGGAATGAGTCTCCTGCAACAAATTACATGAGCAGCATTTGCAAGAGTTAACACTGGTGTGCGTGTAAAGAAACCCCAGACCTGCTCGTGAATGCCTGTACCCAGACCCAGTCCTGAAATTGGCATCTTTTAAACCTGCCAAACCCTGCTCTTTGTACACTTATATTGACATAAGCTCATTTCATCTTTCACTAAAAGTGTCATTTTAAACTGTCACGTATAGAATCAGCAAAGGTAATTATTTGAAAGCATCTATGCTTTGGAACAGCTGCAGCTAGTGTGGCAGTGGCTTATTTTGATTGAACAAAGGAAAATGTAGTTTATAATTCAGAGGTAAATTTTACTTCCAACACGGTGTACTTTAACTGATCTAGAAACATTGACATCTTGATTATTTGACTTTAAATATATGACTTCAGTGCCTGGAGGGAATAGTCTCCAAATGAATCTGCTTGGACCTAGCAGTTTCAGTTACCTGCCTTGCACGCTTAGCTGCACACACGTTTTCTCTTTAGCAATAGGTGTCTTTTTTTTTGTTCAGCTGAAACAGAAAATCTTGACTTGCTGTTTTTTTTCTTCATCAAATACTGTTGTTGGAGAAACCAAAGGCTGCATTTGTAAAATATAATGCCTTTGCCTAATGGGCCTCATTCATCTTTATATTTCTTCTAGGCAAGCTGGATCAAAACAAAGGGAATGAGGGATAGAGTAAGTGAACAAGACCCTTTACATACTGAAATAAAATCATATATTGAAATCAATTGCATCTTATAGCTCTACTTATTCTGCTTTCTTTTTCATTTTACATCTTCATATTGTTTTACAAACTTGTAAAATGCAATTTGCTGAAAGTCTCAATAAAGGTCTCTGCTAGAAAAATTATGCAAATAACAGGTCAATGTGCAGTCTCCCCAAATATTTAGCAATAGTTAAAAAGCTGGTCAGTGTCACTATTTGGATATATATGTTTTGAAGAGTTTTGACCTGATCGTTGTTGTCATTTTGAGAGATTTACATATGGAAATTATACAGAAATCAAGGAAAAAGGCTTAATCTTTTCGTGTTCAGGGTTCTCTTGGCTTTGTCTTATCTTGTCATATTGCTTCAGGCTAGCTATCACTTCTTGGCACGAAAGCTGCACTTTCAGTAAGGAGAAGGGGTGATTTCAGGAAAGGTTGCTTTGTCTGCTTGCAGCCTTCTGAGTTGTTGCAGTGATTCAGGTCCGTGTAGCATGCTTCCACAGGCTCACTCTTACAGCTGCTGTCCTGGGCAGCGATGGAACTTGGGCAGCGCTCCTTACTCACGGATATGCAGAGGGAAACAGTCTAGCCCATACGAGTTCCATGGAAAAAGATTCGGTTTTGAAATATTTTCTTAGGTGTCTGCTCATTGCTTCATGCTGTGGATAAATGTTGAAGGTGTGTGTTTCCTTGGAGGGGGTTTAATTGTATTTTTTAAGGGGGTTGGGGATGCAAGGGTTTTTTGGTTCTTGAGGGAAGAGTTTTGTTTGGTTGGTTTTCCTTATTTTGTTTGTGGATCTTTTTTAAAGACACTTTTTGTTTTTTACTCTAGCAGTGTAGCAGGTGTAGTCTGCAGACTACTTTTTCTTTCAATGCATACAGTAGTTTAGTGACATGGATAGAAACTTAAAGAACTTGTGATGAGGTTTCTATCTACTGTCTTGATTTACTGTTCTTTGGTCAATTAGGGCCTCTGAAGATTCTCCTCTGAATTGCTGCGAGTTTCTCCTCACAGATCCCTACAATAATACATTTAAATTAATACATCCAAGATCATTAATAGACTTAAATTAATAAAATAGTGCAATACATATAAACAGCTAGAGGTCGAGGTAGAGAGAAATTTAGATTGTTACTGTTTTTTTCTGAGATATACTGTCAGAAGTGTATTCACACCTTTCTTTGTTTCTCCTTTCTCCTTGTCTTTGGATATTCTAAATGAGAGAGTGTTTCCTGCCTCAGTTTTTGCCATGTGAGATGCATGCAGTGAGAGGAAGAGTTCAGATAGTAAGGAAAAAAGTCCTTGGCCCCAAAATTCTTCCACAGCATGACTATAACAGGCAAACAACTGTGTCAGAGACCACCTATGGCATGTGAGTAGTCTGTCATGAAAGGGGATGCTGTTTGGATTTAGAGGCCAAGGAAAGGTGCTGTTGTGAAGGAATCTTTGTTTATGCTACTGAGTTCTGTTCATAGGGGACAGGTGGGAGAAGCCTTTTAGATCCTGCAGGGTACAAGACATCAGACCTCTTAGCATTTACATCTTAGTCCTTCCTAACACCACTATTAGTCCCATGAAATTAAGTATCCTTTTTGTAATGGAAACCAAGGCATCCATACCTACGTGTGTATTTAATATTTGGATGAGGAGTAGTGGTTCTTTTCTTTCTTTCTGGAGAAACAGAATTATCTTTTTGCTGTGTTTACTGAATAGAGCTGTTTTTTTTGAAACTTGGCTGGGATACGGAAGCTTGGTTACATAAAGACCGTGGGCTTCATTTACAGCCAGAGAGACAGAGAACGCTGTGATTTCAGTACAAGTGTTTTATTTATTCTTCTTTAATTGTTTTCCATCATATTCACACATTTATGAGTATTTCTGAGACTTTCAAAATTAAAAGCAAAGTTTTGGGTTTTGTTTAGGTGTGTTTTTTTGTTTGTCTGTTTTGGATTTTTTCTCTGTTTTGTTTTTTTTTTTAAAACATGAAATTACCTATTCCTAGGTCTTGGGATGCTTGTTGCTGTGTGCAAGGAAAACCAAATTTTTGGAGGTATCAGACCTTCATTTTGCTTCTAAAATGCACAAATGTAATCTTACAGAAATATGAATTAGAAGTAGCTGTTAGTTAGTGTATTTGTATGATCTGTAAGTTAGGAATAGGAACGCTACAACCCACAGAAACTACTTGGATTTGTGGAAGAATAGTGCATCATGCATTTAAATATCAATCTTGCAGAAAATGGACTATTAGACATTGGAACAAGTGCTTTATGCACTACATGCATTAGTATCCAGAATTTCTGTGAACAGATACTGCCTTTTGTAAGCCACAAGCAATTTGTAGGGCCAGATTCATATTGGTACATGACATCATAAGACACTACTTAGAAAGGTAAGACTATGAATCTAACTGCGTCTAAGCTTCTCCTCCTTTTTTTCAGAAGCTTAAGAAAATTTAGCAAAGAAGCTAAAATTGACTATTAAATTTACTGCTCAGGTGCATTATGTCTTTGATGTATTTATTTTAGTTTGAATTAATGAGGATTAGAAGTGTCCACATCTAAGCTGAAAGACAACAAAAAGCAGCAAAATAAGGTGGTAAGAGAAAAGCAGTTTGTCTTATGAAGGCTGGTGCTAGTAATGTTAGGGACCAGTGCTTACTATCCATTCTGCCTTCTGAGTGTAGCTTTTAGAACACACTACTGTTATTGTGGAGTGTCTTTTCATTATCAAGCCTTTGTTTTATGCACTTAAGATGTTTATTTTACGCAAATAGAAAGTTTCCACCTTATTGAACAGCATACTGCAATTCAGTGAGATCAAACATATTAGAAGTCAAAATTGATGATTTTCTTTTCCTGAATTTCTCCAGAGTCACTCCAGAGTGTGACATTTCTGCCTTTATGGAGCTCTCTTAAACCTCTGGTCTTCCCCCATGGAAGGCAGTGATGTCTCATATCTGCCTGTTACCAGCACACAATCTTGTGTGCACCATTAAAGCTGCTAGTGGTGAAAGTTTCTTTTGGGTTGAATGATCAGGTTGTTACTGCTTGGCACCTTTTTAGTGATGAAACTGAAGGAACTGGGTTGGATTTAAAATTATATTGACACTGTACATATTCTATTACTTATATAAGGCTCTGGTTATTGGATGTTCAAAAAATGAGGGAGTTGAACTTCAACTTTTTCGGATTCTGAATGAAAACCATTGCATTTTTAGTTGGTATCTAAATTTTACTAGAAAGAGATGTTCATCATTTGAGTCTGCAATTCACAGCCTTGCCATCAGTCAGGAAGTGGGGCCAGTGGCAGAACCAGTGACTCACACTGCTGTAAGGCAAAAGTGTGTGTCAGAGCATTGAAGTGAATTTTGTCCTACCCCTTTCTCTACAAACTCTACAGATAGGCAAAAAACACATGCTCTAGGGCTATTGTTCTCTCAAAATAGTCATTCACATGAGGGACCAATTCCTTTCCTACCTTGTACTTGGTTGCCTGTACTTACTTCCTTTACAAGAAGTCAAAGCACTCCTTCATCTCTGAGGAAAGCAGGGCAAGAAGCAGTGGATCCAAGTCAACAGGGAAGATAGATTTAAATATGTTTGCTCTATCTAAGAGGATGAAATAAAAAAATGTTGGAGAATATTCTTTTCCCCACATGTTACAAAATAAAAGAGAGGGGGTAATGAATATCAGCTTTTTTATCCTGCTGGGTGACAGATCAATTTTCCTAAATTGGGTAACTGATGATAGGTTTGTGAAGTAATTAGAGGAGCAGATGACAGTATACTTTTGAGTAGTCAAATGCTACACAGAAAGAAAGCAATGTTGTTTTGTTTTAAACTTCAAGAATTGTCTAATTTTTTTCTGTGGTTTGCTCTTGTTCTGAAATAAATTTCTTCGAATTCTCCAGGTGCTTTTCCCACATGAGTGCAAGAAGAGTAGACAGTTAAAAGAAGTGGCTGCTGTGGAGGACAGCATGACCACCATGAAAGGAAGCTGCTTCCTCACACTGCTCTTGGCAGGACTTGGGGTGTTAGGAATACTGGAGTCAACAACAAGAGAAGATACCCACTGCCACAGAGCTGAGCACCCAATTATTTCATACAAAGGTAAGATGTAAATGGCAAAAATCTTTTCCTGAAGTAGGCTAAGGCTTGTATAATCACTTCATTGAAACCTCTGCTTTTAATGTAGGATGGCATGGGGAAAAAAGGTACGTTCAGTACTGCTATATAAAAATCTGGGCTGTATTCTATGCAAATTAAATACAACTAGGCTTTCAAATTTTGTTCAGCATTTAAAGCTGAATGTGTCACTTAAAAGTGGGTGGCTCATCTTCCTTTGTGATTAAAACCAGGCTGTTCTGTTGCATGAAGTTATTTTTTTCCAAGTGTGCAATTCTACATGTGTGCCCTTAATTACATCAAGTTGCTCTTGTCCCATTCCTCCACCCCAACGAGGCCTCTCTTGGTGGCAGCCCCGCCCTCAAGCTTATCAGCTGGTTCTCTGAATTTGGTGTTATTTGCAAACTTTACTGTGATCTATTGCCTCCCCTTCTTGATTAAGGTGTTAAACAGGATGGGTTCCAGTGTTATTCCACTTGTTGCTGGCTCAGGTGGAATAAGGGGTATTAAACATTTACTCTCTAAATGGTAGTGCTTGAACCCCTTCTGCTAAACAACAGATGCCTTTGATGCCTTAGTGGTGGTATTGAGTCCCTCAGCATCATTCATTTCTGCTGCCACTGGGTCATCTGCCCAAGTCAGCAGCACACAGATGTTTTCCCTGTTCATCCTTTCATGCCTGTTCAACCTTCCATTACTATTGGAGCCGTAGAAGCTGTTCCTGTTGCCCTTGACATTCCATGCAAATCGTAACTCTCACTGAACTTTGTTTAACCTGACGTAATCCCTGCATGCCCATATGGTCTTTCCAAATTCCTCCTTGTCCCTGCTTACTCCTGACACAGCCCTTTTTGCATTGGAGCTGCACCACGAGTTCCTTCCTTCACCAGGACAGCTCTTCATACATGTGGTTGTCATCTTGAGTATTGGGGTGGAACGCTGAGGAACAGTTGGAACAAAGCAAAGAATACTTGGAGGAGGTTTTCTGTAAAAACCTGAGGCAGTTAATAACTTATCTGGCTTTTTATTTTGTTTATTTGAACTGAGATTTTTCCATTAGTGTCTCAACTTAGAATGAGTTCCAAATAGTTTCTAGTTATGAGGATGTAGGGATTAAGATGTATTATATTACACACTGCATTCCTCCTGTTTCTCTAAGAAAGCACATGTGTAAGTTTTTTATTCCAATGAATTAGAATTTATTGAATTTTAATTGAAAAAAGATTTGTTTCCATTCTTTTCACAAACTTAGAGAAAATAATACTGTGTTTTTTACAGAAAGTATTTTGTTCTGGCACTTTAATGGTTTAATAACAGCAATGGTACCAGCTGTCCTGTTCTTCAATACACTGGAGAATGAACTCTGTACCTCAGAACAGCAAACCACCAATGTGTTGTGAAGGAGGGACCTTTATCACTCACTTATTGATGGGCTAAATAGTATGAGTTATTCTGATGAAATACCTGATTTCCTTTGCATTCATATTGTGTATAATTTAGTTTAAAATGCTATTTTTAATCAGAATACACATACACAATATTCTAAATTAAAGTAATTAAAGCAGCACAGTTAAAATTCTGGCACTTAGCTTCTTAATTGCACAAACTAAGAGATCACTGCGTGTACTTTTTGGTTTTATATATGCAACTGTAAAAGAAAATAATTGATACTCATTAGCAGTGCTATGTTCTAGGAGTTGATTAAAAATGTGTCATTTTATGAATCTAATTCAGCCAATATTTAGGAGGGTTTCTTGAATTTAGACCTATCCTGCCTCCTAGGCCTCTCTTGTTCTCTGTCATATTTAATTTCTAGTGATGGCCTTCCAGTTCTAAGTCACTATGCTAAGGCTTTTTGGGAATAGAGGCCATATTTTTCTGGCTGCATCTTTTGATGTAGCCAAAGATAGTGTCACAGTTGAAGTTTACCCCCAAAAAACCAATTTATTTTTACTGTAAATATATGTGGGAAATATAATTATATAAAACCATTTATGGTCAGATCTTTAATATGAGATCTAGTAAAATTTTGAATGCCAGACTCCCCTTTGACCTTTATGGTAAAAAATACCATTAATTAGTACATATCCATGGCATACCAGCCTTTATGAACTGACATCTTTTGAAAAATAGTCTGACAAGCTGTAGTTCATACTTCACACAATAATCTATAGGGATTCCTTAATATCTCTTAGAAAGTACATGTAGAAACTCATTTGCAATGCAGTATACAGCATGTGATAGCTGGGTAGCCTAGTTGGTGTGGCCATACAGCATTTTTCTTGGTAATGCCAGTTAATGGAAAGCAGAAGTTTTGAGACCCCAGGAAAAAGTGCCTGAGAGGACGTTAGGAATGGATAAATTGGGATATCATAATATAAGAAGAGAGATGTGTGTGCAAAGCCACTCTGAATGAGTCTTGCAATAGGAGTTGGCAGGTTTCAACCAGCCACCTTATTGATATCCATATCCTTCCTGTGACATTTGCTGGCTCCATGAATGCCTATAGGAAAATACTGTCTGTATCTATTGATGTCATTAGTGCTGCTAGACCAACGCCAAGTTGAGAAATCAATTTGTAACAGTTAAAATCCCTTTGAGTGCTGCATTAATGCCCTAGTCTGTAAAGTCATCTTGTAACAGTATTAGATCCACCAGAGCTAAATACTGTGTGGGATGCTGAACATCAACCAAAGCTGAGTGCTATTGAGTGGTAGGTGCTTTCAAGCTTGTAAACTCAGTACTAACTTTACAGAGACACCAACACTTATTTTATTTATAACTGATCAAAGCCCTTTTTTTTGTAGTTTCTGGTATGCCAAAGTAGAAATGTACTTATTTGATTTGTCTTCCTTTGAGAGGTATGGTAGATGAAGTATAAACTATTAAATAAAACTAATGGAGTGAGAGTCTGATGTAGCGTATAGATTAGATGAACAGCTGCAAAAAAAAAAAACCTAATAAAAAGACAAAATAGTCCCCAGGAGTTGTCACAGTGAAATATGGAAGGGGAGTATATCTCCTGAAAGAGCTTGCTTTCTTTCCCACTGCTCATCAAAAATTGCTCACTTAGGTGATGATTCTGTCAAGCTACCTTGTGTAGAGATGCATACACTATTTCTAGCCCTGATTTTTCCAGCTAAATAGTTTTAGTTGAAGACTATGATATATCTTCTGGTAGCAAATGACAAGAATTTCACTCACCAATTGAGAACTTCTGCTCAAGTGCTTTGTTCGCTGGTGGAAGAGGAAAAAGAAGGTGCAGTAGAAGGAGAGGCACACACTTGGAAGGGATTTTTGACATGCTCTCAAAGATTTAATTTTATGTCTCTCTTACACAGTATTAATAACCATGTTGTAATTTATTTATCTATATAATTAATATTAGGACTGCATAATGCATCTTTTTGCATTCCCAGAATCTATAAATAAGAAAGTCTGCTATATATCAGAAAATGTTGTTAGCTCTAAAATATCTTGTCATAGAGCTTCCTTAAACTAGAATAAGGTGCTTTGTGTCTTCCTTGGAAGCTGAAAATTTCCTTTTCTCATTATTTAAAGTTAGGGATTATCACAGAAAACAGATTTACATGAAATAGACCTCTAATTATTGGAGGGATTGACAGGATCGGCCCAGGAGTGTGCAGTTCAGTGTTTCGTGTGGTCAAACTGACTTGTGGTGCATGGTGCCTCTTTGAAGTTCCTTTCTCTCTCTCTCTAAGGAGTCGTCTGCATCTAGAAGTGCAAAAATGTACTAATCTGTTGAAATTCAGGCTTAATAAAAAACCTTTCTGTCTGCATATGTTAAGAATTCATCAGCTATGCTAATTCCAATAGTTGGAATCAAGGGTTTATGAATCAAATGTAACTCAGAACTGTGTGAAAGCAAAGAAGGTGCAGATTACAGAATGGATACACAGAGGCTTAGTGTGAGACCCTTGATCTTTACACACATCTCCAAATGTTTACAATGTAAAAAAAAAAAAGAAGTTATGCTTGAAGTATCTTAAGAGTTAAGACAGAAAAAGGGCTTATATAAGCTACTCATTAAAGATAGTGTCAGAAATTTTATTTCTATTAAATTTTATTTCGATATACTTTTGTTTGCATGCAGATATGAAATGTTGGCTCTGTAAATGTATTAGGGTTTACTGATGGTCATCTACTTGGCAAAAATCATTCTCTTCTTGTAGTAAAGGAATTATAGTAGAGTGTTTAACCTGAACAGTTAGAAAAAGCTGCAAAAACCATATATGCTGTATGATAAACAATAACACTTTATAAAGGTTGAACTATTCTTAAGTAAAAAACTCCAAAGCAAAACAGTTGAGTGGTGTAATGTTTGTTTAAATATTTCCAACATTTCATAGTCCACCTGCTCTACAGAACCTTTGTGGTAGCTCTCTGGGGACCTGACCTTTTATTAGATTTGAAAAAGAAAACAAAACCAAAACCAAAAATGAAAGCAATCAACAAAAAAGATAGAGGTAGTTACAGTGGCAGCTTGTTTCCCCAGACACACGTATTTGCTGAACTTTGAAACACCAGACCTTTCAAAACTTAGTTGGAGACTTGTTCTGTAGACAGAGCCTATCCATGAGGTAGAACTGAAGGAGCCATCACAACTGCTTAGCACTGTGTGAGTGAGCTGGAAAAAAAATTGACCCAAATCCAATTTCAGGTGTGAGACTTTAGGTATTGACTGTCCTGCTGATTACCTGTATAAAGTTGAATTTCTTAGGCTTCTCTATAATACAGTGCAGTTTTGAACTTGACTTAATTGATACTGGGAGAACAGCAGAAGTCATTTGCTCTGGGACAAGTCCCATTCTTCTAGGCTCCATAAAATAATCAGAATTTAAAGTTGTGCTGTTTCAACAAAAAACATAAATTTTCATAATTTTAGAAGCTATATTTAGTGATAATTTAAATACGAACTCTGCTGTAACAAAGTTATCTGTTGACTAAACATGCTCAAAAATAGA